CCGCCCCTGCTGCCCTCTGTCTCCTGTCCCCAGTGCCCTCTGCCTCAGGCTGCCTTGTCTCCTGAGGCAGAGGGCAGACAATAGGGCAGTGAGTGCAGCTTTCGAAGTCCTGAAAGCTGGCAGCGGGCACAGAGCGGCTTTCGGTTTCCCAGGCTTCCAGAGCTGCACACGCTGCCCTCTGCCTCCTGTCCCCACAGGGACGGGAGGCAGAGGGTAGCAGGTGCAGCTTTGGAAGCCTGGGATTTTTTTTTCTTTGACTGGAACGGATTAAATGGTTTTCAGTGCATTCCTATGGGAAATGGACCTTCGACCTACGGACTTTTTGACCTACGGTCACCGTTCCAATACGGATTAATTCCGTAAGTCAAGGGTCCACTGTATTCTTGAAATGATATTGTTGTTGTTTTTCAAGTTCTGCATATTCTGTCTATAAATCATCTGGAATTTCTTTTGAGAAAAATAATTAAATTAATCTTAATAATTAACTAAGAGCACATATATTACTCCAGTAGATTAACGGAGTCAGATAAGCCATGTTAAACAAAACACATACATGCAAGAAGGAATTGACATTTTAGAAAACCTATTTTAGACATGAAACAACTGAGGTTTGCATTAGTTCCAAGGACAACTCAAAACATGTATAAAAATGCATGCATTCATATGTGTTCACAGTATGAACTTAAATACGTAAAGTTTCAGAAGTCTTCAATACATAAAGTCTGAGAAGTCTTTCATTAAGGTCCATGTTATATAGTTTGAATATCATGTCACAGACATATTATTTATCATTGTAAAAGAACATATTGCACACTCCATTGATTTTTTCAGGTTTTCTGGGGGGGAAACAAAAATAGTTTTTAAAAAAAAAACTGAAAAAAGCAAGTTTCTTTACCCAGTTTTTCTGGGGTTTTTCCAGGCCTTCCCATCTCTAGTTCACACTACAGCAAGTATACTGAGCTTTGCCATGTCTGAGAATTCTGTCTTTCCAGACATCATAATCATCCCCGTCATAGCTACTATTTAGTAGGGAAGTACATCGACTTTGTGTGAAGCCAAAAAACTGAACCAAAACAGGATGCTGTGAAAGTCTCTGGACCTTCTCCACAGCCAAATGGGTCTTCATCATAGCAAAGCAATCTGCTTCTAAAGCTTCAGATCCACTTTGGATGCTAGTGTAGCAGCTGTCAAAACCCTGATGTACTTCTTCAAAGGAGATAAAAAGTGGCACTGGCACTTTTATAGCTAGATGAGTCTTTGTGTTAACATTGCCAATAGAGTTTGCTTTAAAAGTAGATACCAGGGCAGATGTTGAAGGATCAAAATAGTGTATGCGCATTGAAAAAAACAGATGTCAGCACAATGCCCACCAGCCCCAATCAAGATCTGCAGTTCCTCCTGCAGGTATCACAATTTTCTTAGTGAGGAGTGGGCTTCCCTCTCCTCCCTCCCAATTATTTTTACATTTACATCTTGATCATTAGCAGCGAAAGTTGGGAATCACCCATTTAATTTCTTCTTTCATCTCTCTCATGGGAACACAGAACCTTGGACAGGAACAAGAAAGAGGCTGGTTACCTATTACAAAAATATCTACACAGGAAGTTGGACCACATACATGCAATTTCTGGGCCTCTTTCTTTCTAGCATCCATCTGTATATCACACGTGTACTACAAGCACTTTTATTTAAAGGAAGAAGAGGCAGTTAGGTATAAGGTACCAGTCTTTCTGATCTACTACAATCTGTAGTCTCCCAATTAGCCACAGTCAATATCCTTGTTATAGGAGTTACATGTTGCCATCAGTGAAAATCAGAATTTAGGGTGATGCTGTAACAAGTTGGAAGTCATTATGACTGGAGCATGGTTTTGTAGAACTGAAGTTTTTAACTCTGCTTTTTATATTTTCACTGGCAGGAGTTTGATCACCACTGTCCTTGGGTGAACAACTGCATTGGGCGACGCAATTATCGCTATTTCTTCCTGTTCCTGCTCTCACTTACAGCACATATCATGGGAGTTTTTGGTTTTGGCTTATTATATGTTCTGTATCAAGTGGAAGAGCTCTCTGGGATTCGCATGGCTGTGACGTATCCTTTGTGAGGAGTTTCTTAATAAAAATGGGAACTCTGTCTAGAAATGGAAGTATCCACCTGAAATTGTGCTACCTGGTGTGGTCATGAATAGGAATTGTTTAGTGATCCATGAGTCAATCCTTAACTGTATTGTCAGTATGGCTGTAATGTGTGTGGCCGGCTTGTTTTTCATTCCTGTAGCTGGCCTTACAGGATTCCACGTAGTACTGGTAGCAAGGGGCCGCACTACTAATGAACAGGTATGGATTCTGCATGTGGTTTTCCACTTCACTTCACGGTACTTTGATTTATCTCACCAACCTTTTGTATTTTAGGTTACAGGCAAATTCCGGGGTGGAGTAAACCCATTCACCAATGGTTGCTGTAAAAATGTCAGTCGTGTTCTGTGCAGCTCCCCAGCTCCCAGGTAAGATTTGCCCCAAGTAAGACATTTAGAAAGGGAAGAGCTTCTCTGTTTCGATTGCTATTTGAGGAGAGCAAATTTAGGGGAGGTTCTCAGGGTTCATCCTTAATATAGCTGCAATAAACGGGAAGCTGGTGGGTACCTAGATATGTGGGAGTAGTATTAATTAATTTTTATAAGTTTTGCTGTTTGCACTCTATTGATGTGCTTTTGATTTCCTTTACATAGTAATAGGTATAATCAGACTTTAGGTGGGATTGTTGTCTTCTCTTAGCTTAGTTCAATTAACTATACATTTGGAAAAACATGAGATGGTTGGAAGCTCTCTCACATCTAGCTTATTTTTATATTTACATCTCTCACATCTAGCTTTTTAGATAGAGCCATTTGTATGTTATATAAAGTACACTTACTTAAGGTGGTGTGGAAAGCTCATTAGCTACAGATTAAGTCTGTGGCATTCTCACATTTTCACATGATCTTTTGCTCCTTAAACCTGCTTTTGTAATTTAGAGAGAACAAAATTCCATGGTTAACTGTGCAACCAGTCACTAAATATTAAACCCAGTTTCCTTTCCAAGGTCTGTCATCTGAAATATTGCATTCATGTACACTTAATGTGTTTCTTCCAGGTTTACCTTTTGTTTTCAAATGCAATATATGACTGTTCCTGTGTAGATCAGTGGCTGAAATCTAATAATGTGACTGATGCCATGTAAGACTGATGATGTCATGAGCTACAGCAGCTTTTTGGAAATCAAAAATTTCTGATCCCCCTTCCTAAGGTCCTGAGACTCCCCTGGGATCCCTTCCATTGTTGGAAAGCTGTTTCTCCTATCCCTGTCATGTGGCTCCCGGTGGCTTTCCCACAGTGAAAGGGATCTCAAAAGAACCTTGCTATTTGGGGTGGGGGAGCAGGGGATTGATAGAAAATGAGAAATGCTTAGTTTCTGAAAAATCAACATAGCTCATGATGTTATCAACCTTGCATAACACAAATTAGCTACTGGATTTAAGCCACAGTCCTGTAGCATTACTAATGCTCTGTGCATAAATTATTTCAGTGTGCTCTCTGCTGTGCACTTTTTGCAATTTCCTGCAAGTGTAAGCATGTGAAAAATCTTACTTTTCATTACAGCAGTGACTATAGGAAAAAAGCCTAAAAGAAGAGAATGCATGTGTGTCATGGCATCACAATGCCTTTTGTAGGTCATTCCTCTATTTTGGAATTGTTGTGGCTGGTGCCTTACAGAGTTACTACTTTTCTGTGATTTTCCTGCCCAGTATTCTAAAGTGCAAGGATGCTAGAAAAAGAAAAGGGAGAAAGGGAAAAAAGAGAAAATATTGTAGCACTCTAAAAATTTGCAATTTTATTTCAGTATGAGCTTTTGTGGATCATAGTTTACTTCCTCAGATACTGGAGTACAAATGCTTTACTGGTATATTCATATCCCCACAAGCGAGTGTACAGATGATAGACAAAGTGACTTTGATTTCTTAACACAGGAATGCGAAAGCTCACACTGAAACAAAATATTTACAATGTTGTAATATGTATTTTTGTTCTCCTTTTTCTTTTGCCAACATGCTAAGACATACTAATATGGCAGCTTCTTTGAAAATAGATGTAAGGATGCAGGTTTTTGTCTGTATCACTGAAGAGCACTGAATTATTCATGTTTTAAAATCCTAACTTCATATCCAGATAAAAGAAGAGAATAAAAAAGATAACCTGTTCCTATACTCAGTTTAACCTCTTATACTTAATTTGGGTTAATATTTTATTTACAGAAAAGTAATTGTATTGGTGTAATTTGAATAACATTCAGAAGTTCCCGACTTCTACCAAACATGACATTTCTTGTGTGACTTCTGCCCTCCTCCTTTCACAGTTACATGGGAGTGTGGCAGTGTGACTTTAGGTAGCAGGGAAGCTGCGGGAAAGATAGTGCTTAAATGCATTTCGTATTGGCAGGAGGGACACAGGAACACTCGTCCACAGGCGATATTATAATTCCATCAGATTGTCATATGGACAACATTTCTGGGAGAACTTGTTACTGGCAGCTAAGCTTTTCATGTAGTGGCAATTCTGCCTGTAGGCCCATATTGCCAACTTTTTTGGGGGTAGAAACCCTCTTCTATAATAGCCAAGGAACCTGCAACCCTTCCACCCTGTTTACATAAAAAGTAATCCCTTCTCAGAACGTAGAGGCTTCTTTCTCCCCTAAAGGATTTATTTCTCATGCATACACATACAGACTAATTTTAATATCCTGCTCCAAAAGGGCAAGGAACAAATTATTGAACAAGGGCTACAACATATATAAGGCAACCTGCGAGCCCCCCCTCCCGAGAACACTTTGTGACCCCCTTGGGGGTCACAGCCTCAGGTCAGGAAATACTGCTGTATGCAGATTTGGATACAAGGACCAGAATCATATTGGCGTTAATGTAAGGTCTGCGTAACTTGCCATGGCCAATTGCAGCTAAATAATGAGCTGGGGTGTGTCCTGGTTGTGTATCTAGTCACAGGCCTGACTACACAACCAAGATGTGCCCTGGCATCTTGTAAGTTAGCCAAAGCAAGTAACACAAACTGTATGTGAACACTGAGGATTCCAGCCAAGGAATCTGATGCTTTAAACCAGTGGTGCCCAACCTTTTTGGGACTGTGGACCGGCTGAGCCTCGCATGCGTGTGTGCTCTCAGGTGCATGCACGAAATGGTAGGAGAGTGTGTGCCCGCCAGTGCTCCCCCACCCCTTTGCGCATGCGCAGGAGCACACCTTCGCTCAGGCACATGCGTGAAGGGGTGGAGGAGTGCTCACGCTGGCACGCATGCGCGTGTGCAAATCAGCTGTGGGGAAGGGAGTGCGGGGGGTGTGAGGTCTGTCTCGGCGGCCCAGTCCGGGGGTTGACGACCTCTGCTTTAAACAATTTATTCTGGTTTCAGACTGTTTAGCTGGAGAAGGCAAACATTGTCATCAAGTCATAGCATACTTACAGGAGGCTCTGTTCCACTCTCCTTTTTTGAAAAGTAGATACATACTTTTTTCTTAATTGTTCTAGGTATGTTGGATCGTCTACTCTTCTAGACAAATATATGTTTAACACATGTTTTCTCTTTTCCCCACAATGCATAGGTATCTTGGACGGCCAAAGGCAGAGCAGACTGTACTAGTAAGGCCACCGTTCTTGAGGCCAGAAATATCAGATGGGCAGATTGCAGTAAAGATAATGGACAATGGTATCCAGGCTGAGCTGACAAGAACAAAGGTGAGGAGGGCATGAAGGTGCTGTCCAGGCAGTATCTGTCCCAAAACTTTGCTGCCGCGCTACCACTGAATACGTGAGTAAGAGTAAAGTGAGCCTCATGGACATTCTTCCTGCATGTTTTCACTTCTTGTTTCCAATTTTCTACAGCAAGTGAAGGTCTGCTTCCCTCCCATGTGGCAACTGCTACATGAGAGTTGCTCCCTTTATATCCTGGATAATTCTGGCTTCCCACTTCCCTTCTCATCCAGCAACTGACATGCACAGTCTTCACTTACACTTCTAGAAGTGCCAGATAGCTGCAGGCTCTTCCAATCACATATGAATCCTAGTCAAGCTGGGGACAGTGTTCAGGACTTTGAGTCCTGGCTCATTCTTCTGATTGCTCCTCTGCACTTTGTTTCTGCAGTCCAAAGGAAGTCTTGAAGTGATGGAGAGCCAATCTGCTGATGCTGAGCCACCGCCCCCACCCAAGCCAGACCTCAGCCGATACACAGGTCTGAGGACGCATTTAACCCTGACCACCAATGAGGGTAAGAGAGCATGCCAGGGAGACAAGGATACAGTCAGCTGTGTGCTGGTACAGTGATTTACCATCAGGAAGGTAGTGCCTGAATGCAGTACTAGATTAGCAGAATTGGTCAGTGAACAAAACACAGTTGTTGTTGTTGTTGTTGGGGAATAATGATTAGGCCAGCTTTCTGTTGCTGTTGCTGTAGTACTGGGGCAGGATTACCATGATCAACACAGACCTATTTGTCTTGCCTTTTAATAGATGGATTCAAGTAGATTAACAGAGCAGATACTGAGCTGGTAGCTAGGTTTATATCCTTTCAGAAGTTATTTGGATTTTAAAACTATGACCTCTTGTTCAAGTGTGAGGATTGCTGGCAGCTTTTGGCCTTTGGGGATTGATTGACTTTACTGTTACACCCTTATATGTGTGGAAGGTGGGGCTGCTCTGCTATGCTGTGCTATCATAGAGCTGGTGTGGACTATGAAAAGTCAAGAATTATTTCCTTACCTTTAGGTTTAATACTGACTGCTTTTGCTATTGCCCAAGTGTTCCCAGAGGAAGCAGCAACCTAAGTGAAAATGTGATATGTGAAGAAATCCCCGAAAGATTCTTTTACGGATTCATCTATAGAGTTCTTTTATCTATTCTGCTACTTCTGGTATAGCAGTGCTCAAAATGGGGAGGCACAGCGGTCAGGACTAGTAAGGCTTGCATGCACAGGCTGGACGTGACTTTGTGATCTCATTGGTGGGAAAGTGTTCCTCTTGCTCCATTTCATCTTCACTCCAATTATTATATCCCTTACTGATTCCTTGACGTCTGTGGTTTGTCCACCTTCCTGAGGCTCTTACCCGGTTCTTGTGGATCAGTCTGTAGTATGTTCAGAGGAACTTCCTGGATGAAGTTTCAAGTGACTTTATTTAACATTGCTTGTTAGTGGATGTGTATTCTTCCTTTCTCTCTACAGATAGCAGTTTGCTAAGCAAAGATAGCCCTCCAACTCCAACCATGTACAAGTATCGACCTGGCTATAGCAGCAGCAGCACTTCAGCTGCAATGCCTCACTCTACTAGCGCCAAGGTAATGAAGAGCTTTGCTTGTTTAGCTTGAAGAATTATTTGATTGGCATGCATTTCCTCTGTCAGGAGAAGGCAGACTTTTCAGCTTGTGTTTATTTTAACCAACTGGAGCCAAATACAGAATAATAGTTTGGGGAGCAAGCAAACACTAAATTCTGTGCATATGATTCAGTTTAGTACAGGGATTCTAACAATTCAAATAAGACCTTAATATTGCTTTTGTTAAACAACTGGATAGTGGACATATGCTGACCCTACTGCTGACCCTACTTGCCCAAAAGTCTACTGAATAAAACCCTGATCTGCCTTCTGACCAACTCTGGCCTATATAGAAGGATTTTTGTGTTACATATACGACGGGGTGCTGACAAGTATTGAGCCTTACCCAGAAAAAATCGAGCTACGAAGCTGTAACTGCCACACTATTCTGCATATTCCCCCAGGAAGGCAATGCACTTACGAAATCTCTCCTGCAGCTTCTTAAGTCCCTGCAAATAAAATTCTTCCGACTGCTGGTGTAACCACTCATTTGTAGCATTAGTTGCCTCCAGAACACTCCCAAACCGTTGTCCCTTTAGGTGTTTTTTGAGTTTGGGGAACAGATAATAGTCAGAAGGAGCCAGGTCAGGAGAATAGGGTGGATGGGGCATCACTTGAAAGCCTAAGGTGGTCAGTTTTGCCATTGTTTCACCTGCAGTGTGTGACAAGGTGTTGTCATGCAACAGGATGACACCTTTGGAGAGCTCTCCTCAATGTTTTTCCTTGATGTTTTGCCTCCATGAATAAAGCACATTAATATTTTACATTGATGGTTGAACCCTGTTGGAAGTAGTCCACCAGCAGAACTCCCTTCTGTTGTCATTTGCTTCTGCACCGACCTTTGCACTCAGAACTTCTTTGGCCTGGGAGAACCACTAATTAATAAGTTAGACTGTTCCTTAGTCTCAGGATCCATTCCTTAGACTGTTTCTTTGTCTCAGGATCATAACAGTAGATCACCAGTGACCAGTGATCTCGCTCATTTCTTGCAAAATGTTCCAAAACAGCCACCAATGACTCCACACGTTTCCTCTTTTGTTTGGTTGTCAAAAGTTCGAGGATCCACTTTGCTGCCAGCTTTCTCATTTCCAAGTTGTTGTGGATAACGGCACCAACCCTCTCATGTGATATTCTCAGATATGTAGCAATACTTTTGGCTGATATTCGGCGGTCCTCCATGATCATGTCATGGAAGGCTTTCACATTTGCAGGCACAGAGACAGAAACAGGCCTTCCACTGGGTTTCTCCCTTTCAACACCAAAATGGCCAGTTTTAAAATTGACAGCCCAGCATTTAACTGTTGCATATGAAGGGCCACTGTCACCCATAGTTTGTGACCGTTCAATATGGATCTGCTTTGCACATTTCCCTTGGAGAAACAGGGAGTTGATTATGGTCCTATGCTCTTACACATTGAACTTTTACGGAGGTGCTGCCATGTTCACTTTGGACCTGAACATGAAAGATAAGTTAAAATCATAGGTAGTTGATTTTTGCATCATTGAATACAGACAAATTGGCTAATACAACCTGCAAATTATAGCTTCCTAGCTCAATTTTTTCTGGGTAAGGCTCAATACTTGTCAGTACCCCCTCATATTATACTAATAGACATTATTGTGATACATCCGAAAACTAGGAGAGTTAAACATAGCTTGTTTACTCAAAAGGAAGTCTCATTGAGTTCAGTGAGGCATGCTTCCAGGCAAGTGTGTTTTATACATTTATTGTAGGCATAACATATTTTCACAGATTTCAGCCCACTTGATGGGTTACCTGAAGTGTTGGCCTCATTTTGCAATTTAGTGAGTTTCTTTTCTTGCAGTAAGCACAAGCCATTAGCTGTGGGTTGCTTTGGGGTAACAAATTCTGTACCCCATATTTCTGAATTACCATGTGCAGACTTGCAAATGACCATTGTGTCTATCCTTCCACACTGCAGCTAAGCCGAGGAGACAGCCTGAAAGAGCCAACTTCCATTGCTGAGAGCAGCCGAAACCCCAGCTATCGCTCTGAACCAAGTCTGGAACCAGAGAGTTTTCGGTCTCCCACTTTTGGAAAGAGTTTCCATTTTGATCCTCTGTCTAGTGGTTCCCGCTCCTCCAGCCTCAAGTCTGCACAAGGCACAGGCTTTGAAATGGGCCATCTTCAATCAATCCGCTCTGAGGGCACCACATCCACATCTTATAAGAGTTTGGTGAACCAGACACGCAACGGGAGTTTGTCATATGACAGTCTTCTCACACCCTCAGATAGTCCTGACTTTGAGTCAGTGCAGGCAGGTCCAGAGCCTGAACCACCCATGGGTTACACTTCTCCTTTCCTTTCTGCTCGTATTGCTCAACAGCGGGAGGCTGACTTGCACAGCCGTTTTCCAAGCTCTGGCTCACCCAAGCACCAGCCACCCCGGGATTCTTCCCCTGTTCGCTATGACAATCTTTCACGCCACATTGTCGCCTCCATGCAGGAGAGGGAGAAGCTTCTGCAACAGTCTTCTGCGTCACCGCCTTTGGCCAGAGAAGAGGATACAGGGCTAGGGGACTCAGGCATCCAGTCCACTCCAGGCTCCAGCCATGCCCCACGTACCAGCTCCTCCTCGGACGATTCAAAGCGCTCCCCACTGGGCAAGAACCCACTCACTCGCCCAGTGGCACCTCGGTTTGGCAAGCCAGAACCAACACATGCACTCAGAGTGCGTTCCCTCGGCTCACCAGACCAGCCTGCAGCCCCACACTTGGGTAAATCTGTGTCTTACAGCAACCAAAAACAGTCACCCCAGGCCATTGTCCCAGAGACTGAGGAGGTGGCCTTGCAGCCTTTACTGGCACCAAAGTAAGTACAAGTGACACTGCCTCGTGCTTTAAAGTGTTCCTTGACTTGGTAGAGGATGAACAACTCTCAGCCCTGCCCCATCACTTTTCTAACCAAGGAGCCCAAGATAATTTGGTCTCCTTTCAGCAGCATTTGGAGGGAATTGCTGGGGGGTGATCTACAATTGTGCCTGCTCTCGTCTATCCCTATCTTCCCTCCTGCCTTCCTTCCTGTCCTCCAGTGTGTGAACTATCCCATTTCCTCACCCTTCATTGTATCATGCCATATAGATCCTATAAAGTCAAATTCCTGTTTGTGAGGTGTTGGGTATGAGCATCCTCACTTTCCCTGAATGTGTGAGACCCCTAGACCTTCTATGTGATGCCTGCCTGATTTTTACCTCATATATAAAAATATTATATATGAGACTGCCCTTCATTCTCCCTTCCCTCTATGTATATCTGTTTCTAGGTTTGTTTGTTTTTGTGTGTGTGTGTGTGTATGAAAGAGAACTGAGTCTACCTTTGGAGACAGTATCTAAAAAGAGATATGTCTTTATGAAGATGGTGGCAGTATGATTCTTTCTTGCCACTGTTTTGAGTCCACAGCCCCTTTCTTTTATTCCTTCTGAAAAGTGCTGTTTTGTGTGTATGTGGCTTCTTAATAGTTCTAAATTTGTAGGTTCCCATTCTCTTCTAAATGGGTGTGTGTTTGTTACAGTAAAATGTTCATAGTGCCCTGCCCGTTATCTGTGAATCACAACAGTCCACAGTTCTGTTTCCTTCTATAACCTCAGGCAGTGCAAGATGTGTCCCAAGCTTTCCTTTCCGTACCCTATTTGAGTGTGAGACATCCTCCATTTCCATTGAATGAATGGTCACTTCCTGACACCCTTGTATCCTTCCTTTTTCCCAGAGATGAGGTGCAGATGAGACCTTCCTACAGCAAGTCCAATGGGCAACCCAAGAGCCTCAGCTCAACCTCGCCCACCCCTGGCCAGCCACCTCTCAGCAGCCCCACTCGTGGAGGAGTCAAGAAGGTCTCTGGAGTGGGTGGGACTACGTATGAGATTTCTGTATGAGGAGGTGACCTCCCTGCTGTCTGCTCCTCCTTGGCTGATTCCAAAACACCCTGTCTCTGATGAGCTGGAGACTGGAAACTTGTTCAGCAAATGGTTGTCTCATCACATGCATGGACCTTTATTTTTTAAAGAAATCGAGGTTTGGTGGGATGGGGAAGAACCAAGGGACAGCTACCTTTTTAACCTAAATTATCTGGAATTGAGAGAATTCCTAAACACTACAGCCGGATCCCAGCCGTGCCCACCTCCATAACCTGTCCTTTTACTCTCAGCCAACCAAGAGACTGCAATTCGTAGCATGCACTGCCGAGAGAGAAGGGGAGGGCCTTTTGTCAGCACCCCTGTGGGTGCGGCGGGGGGGGAAGAATGTGCCGGCTCCAGCCTGCCCCACTACCAACAGGACAGTCAGTTGTGGACCTTGTGCAATCACTTGCCTAGTGCGGTAGGAGTGGATCATTTTTAATTTTTTTTATTATTGTTACGAATTCTATTTTTTCCTCTTCTGAGTTACTGGGTGTGTGTATATATAAATATCTATAAATATATAAATATAAATATAAAAAGAAATTATATATCTACCCATATTGAGGGAGGGAGGCCTAGGCCTATGCCATTTGCTGCACATGAGGAAACCATGTATAAAGCATTTGTGTTTGAGGGAATCTAGGGGGATATATTGGGTCAACCACTTGATTGTGTTGTGTAGCCCAAAAGAAAAGACATCTTAAAAAACTACCACTCTCAAGACATGCAGGGTTGAGAAAATGGCAGTGTGTCAGTTGACCTGGCCTGGTTGTGCCTGTATCTTTGGCTAGGTAGGAGCTTGGTTTATTGTGCCCAGCTTTGCATTGTCCATTCTGCAAGGGAGCATTCAAAGCCCACCTCCTTCCTTATTACTGCTCACCTGGGCTATGTCATGATGGAAGACCTTCCCCATGAGTTCTTTCCTGAGAGACCGGGAGGGTTTAGGAGAACTGCGGTAGCCAGTGGTTTCTCATGTTTTCAGCTTCTAGACTTTGCTTTCTCAAGAAAGCGACTCAGAATACAGATGGCCATTCTGTACAGGCAGCTTAGCATTCAAGACAGTAGATGCGTACTGTTAAGGTGCTTGAGGTGCATAGGAGAGAGAGAGGGTGGCAGTAGCATTGGTATTGGGGCTAGGTCCTTTATGTGGAGATATAAATACAGTACAAGTAAAGTCTCCCAGGTGATTTCTCAGTTGGGGGGGGGGTTTGCATCATTTTAATGAATTGCTTCATATTGATTTCCAGTTGTATCATCACTCTTTATTCCCAACTGGGCAAGAGAAAGAAGAGGAGAAGACAAACAAACCAAAAAGCAATATTTTTCCATATGCCAAAAAATTCTCTCCACCCATAAACGCCCATGAAAGTAAAATCCAGAACAACCCAGGAATTTAATGGTTTCTAGTCGCTACTGACTCTTTCTCTATGGCAATATCGTAACTGTGGTCTCCATTGAGCCACACTTTTATTTTTATTATGACTAGCCATTTTAAAATGAGGAATAAAAATATATATAATGAGCCACTCCCTCCATGCTTGTGTAGTTTTTTTAAACTTCTTATCAGAGGGGAGGGGGTTTGGTGGTTGGGTGTCAGCATTGCTGCTGGCTTTGCCATTTAGAATGGTTCATTGAGTGATGGAAAAGGCTTTTCTCAAAGACATAACAAATTGACACTTTATTCTTGTTCTTATAAAAGACCAGCTCATAGGTATTGGTGCAGGTATCTCAACTAGTATGCAGAGATTGGACATCTACAGGTGATGATGGAAAGAAGTGACAGCTGTCTAGTACAAACCAAGGCTAGCCATTTACCATCTCCTACCTTATGTTTTACAGTCCAGACCGTAATAAAAGAGTATGTGTCCTTCAGAATGTAACTACAAAGCGAAGAGGTTCCAGCTTATTCAAACAAGCAAAGCCAAACCGACCACAGGGGAAGGGAAACTCCCCTTATCAGCCTCACATGCATGAGAATTCCTTTTTCAATCCCAAACAACAAGAGATTGGAATAAATTAAGGTTCAAACTAGATGAGTTGCATGAAAGGAATTAATGGGTGTTATATTTTCATGTAAGTAGACCCTATGGAATGAGAAGAAGCAGAACTGTGGCAGGCTAAGTAGGGAAGCTTAACTTTTTCCCTCTTTGCCATCTTAACAGAACATCCCTTCTCTCTGAAACAATGTTTTGCATCAGGCAAGAAATTCCATTGGTACTGATAGGAACTTTTCTCTCAGTGCAAGTGGCTGTTTCTGGGCAGTATGTAAATTGCTTGGACCACGGCAAGAAGATAAAGGGTTACAATTCCAGTTCTTTCTAACACTTCTCTTGCTGTGGCTGTTTATATCTAGAGAAATGTGCACATCAGTTACTTATATCCAATTAACATCACAGGTACTTTAGCTCCCAATTTTAACCTGTGGAGCTACTTTGATTACATTGCTACTCCAATTGTAAGTACACCAAATTCATGATAAACTATACACTGATTAGCCACAACATTAAAACCACCTACCTAATATCGTGTAAGTCACTCTTGTGATCTAATCTGTCAAGGCATGGGCTCCATAAGACCTCTGAACGTGTCTCGTGGTATCTGGCACCAAGAAATTAGCAGTAGATCCTGTAAATCCTAGACATTGTGAGGTGAGGCCTCCATGGATTGGACTTGGTGTTCCAACTCATCCCACAGGTGCTCCATCAGGCTGAGATCTTGGGAATTGGAAGGCTAAGGCAACACTTCTAACTCGTTGTCATGTTCCTCAAACCATTCCTGAACAATTTTGCAGTGCAGCAAGGTGCACTGGTGCTAAAAGAGGCCACTGCCATCAAGGCACACTATTGCCATGTGATCTGCAAAAATCTCTAGATAGGTGGTATGTGTCCGAGTAACATCCACATGAATGCCAGGACCCAGCTTTTCCCAGCACAACACTGCCCAGAGCATAATACTGCCTCCGCCAGCCAGCCTTCCCATAATGCATCCTGGTGCTATCTCTTCCCCAGGTATATGATGCACACACACACCTAACCATCCACCTGATCTAAAAGAAAATGTGATTCATCAGACCAGGCAACCTTCTTCCATTGCTCTGTGGTCCAGTTCTGACGTTCACGTCCCCATTGTAGGTGCTTTTGGCAGTGGACAGGGGTCATCATGGGCACTCTAACCAGTCTGCAGCTACACAGCCCCATATGCAGCAAACTGCAATGCACTATGTGCTCTGACATCTTTATGACTTGGCCAGCATTAAGATTTTCAGCATTTTGAACTACAGTAGCTCTTCTGCATGTGATCAGACAGGACAGCTTTTGCTCCCCATGTGCATCAATGAGCCTTGGGCACCTGCAACCCTGATGCTGGTTCACCAGTTGTCCTTCTTTGCACCACTTTTGCATACCAGAAACACCTCACAAGACTTGCTGTTTTGGATATGCTCTTGACACAATCGTCTAGCCTTCACTATTTGGCCCTTGTCAAAATCACTTGGATCTGTTCACTTGCCCATATATCCTGCTTCCAGCATAGGAAATTCAACAAGTGACTGTTCGTTTGCTGCCTAATAGATCCCATGCCTTGACAGATGCCATTGTAATGGTTTAATAAATGCTATCTGTTTCACCTGTTGGTGGTTTTAATGTTGTGGCTTAAAATGTTTTGCAATGCACATTTCTAAGAAGAGTGAAAGCGAGGTTGCCTACTAAAGATTGGGGCTTTAATAATGGGGCTGCAGCTCATTTGGACTGTGTTGTTAAAGGTGGCCAACGAGATGGTACTTATAAATGGAGAAGAGTGCTGAAATAGTGCTCCAGTGGAGTGTGTAACCTTGATTGGATAGTCTGAAAACAGTTTCAAAAGCCATCTGAGGAACAAGTGAAAATTCTAACTCAGTGAATACACATTTGCAGTACAATTAGCCTGTAAAATGAGAGATCAGTAGCTGATTCCTAAACAAAGGCAAATATCTGCACCCAATATCCTGAATAGACAAGGCAATATTACTGTGATTGGGGCTAGAGAAATGATGTAACATGAGGGCATGCTACTGTGAAAGCCGTGAAAGCCTCAAAATTGCCAGTGAATGAAATAATAAGGAAGAGGGAATTCCTTCTGTTTCAAACATGACAATCAGAATTAAAGTCTGCTTTCACAATGACATGGAATGCAATGTTTAGCAACCTTTTCAGCCTAGCATTTCTATGTGTACATCTCTCTTGACTCCAGAAATTCAGGAAGTGTGTGTCAGGACACCACAACCTTAATTACAATTTCTTTGGTTCTTTCAGGAGAAGGATGGGATATAAATAAATACATTTCTTAAATGTCATTATACAGTGGAAATTAAACTGCAGCTAATGTCTTCTTCTATAAAATGGTCCTAGCAATTTGTTCCCAATTTAAAATATTCTAATTAAGCCCAAATTTATAGATCAACATTTGCGTTAATGTTCTTTTTCTTAAATGTATTTTTTTATTGTAAAGTTATCAGTTACGTAATTTTTGTAGAAATGCAGACATATTGACTGAAATCCTATTCATAAACTGAAGCATAACTTATGGTCTGTTATTCTCTTACTGTGAATCTTGGAGGTGCATATGCACCCTGGCTTGATCCATGTGTATGTGACCACCACCCACTCCCAAGAATTGTGGCAGCACTAATTTGCTTACAAGGGGGCTTACAGATGTTTGGGCTTCTGCTAGAAAAAGGATTTCGGCTACTGCTTTCAGCCATTTATTTGTGGAGCTAAAAATCCATATTTTATCTCTAGTTCTTAACTCTCCTTTCTGCTCATCAGTCTCATATTTTTAAATGTTTACCCTGCTTTAAAGTCAAAAGAGGCTTACAAAGTGAAAGTTGAAATAATCCTACAAATCAATGCACTTACACAAATGCAAATATTGCTACCTTGTTTTCTGTCAAAAGTGAGCATAATTGTACACAAATGTCCAAAGAATAATAAATGAATTGGGGGACAGAGTTTGTTTGTAATTGGTAGATTGCCCATCCATACTGATTATCCTTCAAGGTTTTCTGTGTTTACTAGATGCCTTACTGTAAATATTGGATATCAAGAATTAATGCACCTAAAATTACTTAATAGCACACTACATTTAGGTTATATTTCTTTTTAGGAGGAGGAAAGGGTTTTTTTTCAGATACTTGTGCATATGTATGAGTCAAGTGTATAGACATTTCAGTGACCCTGAAGTTTCCATAACAGATACTTCTTTAAAATTATATTTTAAAATATATCTTTAAAATGTTTGCATCCTGAGTTCTTCCTTATGATCTTTGTGCAGGCACACACATGGACTCTGTGCAAAGGGGAAAATGCAAGATTGTCAGAATAAAACAGTGAAGGCGATACTAAAGATAACTTCACACTGTGGAAGAATTACCTAAAGCTGTAGAAAATCCTGTACTATGCAGCTGATACTCTGTTTAAGCTTTCCCCTTTTTCTCATGACATGCAACTGGTATGACATGGGTATCTGTTCCATGAGGAGAGTGGATGTCTTCAGTGCTGTTTATAAGCTCAGTTGTTCTTCATGGGTTACTTTGAATGGCCTTTGCATTTTCCTAAGTGGTTTATAACTGCTGTTGACTATTTCTGCATAATATATGGCTCCCCCCACCCGCAACCCCAAGTTTGCTCCTTTGTCCCTTTTGTTAGACCACATAGATAGAAAATGACAAAGTCTTGTGTGCCCCTTTTATGGTATAATCTATCAGGAATGACAGCCCTTTTATCAGATACAAATAACCCAAATCTTTTGTGCACAATGATCCTATACCATAGCATTTTTTAAAAGGCCTCAGTTGATTCTGCTACAGCTGTTAACACAGTTCCTGAGGAGGATGGAACTCAGTTGATGCAAACAATTGTTCGTGTAATCATAGTACTTTATAAAGAATGAAGCTAAATCAGTAGTGGGCAAAGTGGCCCACAAGGCCCCAAGTCAGAAAAATAACACAAAAATCACAAGCACGCCTATGTTTTTCCTGCTCCTGAAGACATCAGCAAAAAATGGTTTTTAGAGGGCATTCCAGTCAAGAAAGCCCCCCCATTTCCAAAACCCAAAACAATCCAAACCAGAATGTTTGTAGGTCATAAAGAATTTGGGAAGTTATCTGTGAGCATGTGATACGCCAATCTGTACAGCAATAGCTGCTAAATGAGCCTTGTAAAAGGTAGAATCCAGCCATCGGCACTAAAAAGGTTGCTTCATTTCAGTAGAATAGGATTGTGTTCATGCCTACATTTTATTTATTTTAATGATACAGTTAAGAACTTGGTGTGTGCCAGATATTATTCACATAGTACTATAAATATACAAATTGCTTTGAGTCTCCGAATTTCAGCTAACATAAGGATAAAAGTACCATATACACAAATGCATTCCTGTGTACTTTTGTCTTATTTCAAATATGATGACTGAAATCTAGTATGATGTTGGTGCATGTCACAGAGTTGACTTCTCCTTTCCTCTGCAGCCCCAAGAGCCACCTGAAAG